CGGATGTAAAAATTTGGAAAAATGTAGATTCTTGAAAAGTAAACAAATTACCATTCAAATTGGGGGGTTTAAAAGACTGACAATAATTCAACAGACCAATTAATCTATCAACACATTAGAAGACATTTTCACATTTACAAAATAATCCTTCAATTTCTTGATTTGAAACTTTTTTGCTTTATTTTATAAGTTACAGACAATCCGTTTAGTTGATGAGTTTCTATGAATACGGGGTTGTTAAATTTATAAAAATGACCATTACGTTCGTTCGTAGCTTCTCCATTTTGTTTGTCTCCTTCAATGGCATTATAAAAACCCCAAAATTCAAAAGTAAAACAAAAGCAATGCTCAAGAAACAAGAATCAATACTTAAATATATAACAAAAAGTTACCTTTGGTGTAGAGGGATTTAGTGTGGAAGTGTAGATGAAAGAGGAAGAATAGAGGTTTTCAAGGTATTCCAAACTATTGGTAGAAATGTAAAAGCTAGAAAATTTAAGTCTAGATATACAAAACCTCAACTATATGAAACTAGATGGTACACTTCACCAGAAGTTATACGAATTTTGCATGTGTTAATGTCATATCGGTTCGCTTCAGAAAACATGTTCCAGTTTGTACTTATTGCTTTGAAAGTTGTATTATGCATATTCGAGACTGACATGGGATTAGTAACGAAAACTTGAACTTGGTATTGTATACCCTTAATCGGTTTGGTATTAGTTTCTTACATTTGACCCCAATCGGTTTTGCAACCAATAGGTTCAATCCGGTTCCGGTATCAAATTCGCCTCTACTTTTTTATGTGATTAATTAGTCTCTATCTAATTTAATAGGAGTTGATCCGTACACAACAATTTTTCTCTATATACAATAATTTGTGCTTCCCAATTTAATATGGTACATCAAGCTCGGTTCGAAAATGAAAATTTTGTCTATTCAATATGAAATCAAGTATTGCAAGTTGTACGAAGCTGAAGCCTCATAAAACATCATCACTTTATCTATTCATCATCAATTAAACATTTTACACTAATCATATTCCATTTGTGATCTTAAGCCTTTAGTTGTAAATCATAATAATGTTTTTTTTTTCTTCTTTTGTGATTGAGATGTTTTCGTCTTAATTTATATAGTTTGCATCAACAAAAATTATGGTTCATGTTTCTACTTGTGAATACAATCTTGGTCTATATAACATACATGTTATGAACTTTTATATAACTTGATTATTATAAGAAAGAAAGACTACGGATGCACAAATGGAAGAGTTGAATTAGAAAGAAAGACTATTTATTTAAATGGATTAAACTTAATTATAACGAAGATGTCATATTTGCATTCAATACATAAAGAATTTAATGGATACTGAATTTGAATTGAAAAATATTACTTTTTTATGTTTAAAATATGTTCCATTGAATTTTTATAAAATTCAAATGCATTGCCGAGGAAAAAATAAAAGATAAAATAATAATGTAGAAATCTATTAAACTTTATAAAATTTAATATATTATGGATGCCTAATGTTTTACTTTTGTTACTGGGCAGATTGACCGATGCAATTTAAGTGAAAGCATATAACCATGACAAAAACGAGAGTAGCAGAAATTATTTTATAAATTATGTTAAGGCATCAAATTCGTTACTGATCTTTGGGTATGCAATATCATTATCAACAATATCTAAGTAATGATTTTGTTACACCCAACAAAAAAAAAACGCTGACGTGATATGAACAATATGATATGAAACTACTTTATTAATGAATTGATGGATGTCTCTCACTTGTTCTATAATCCTCGATCGCTTATTACTGCATGTCGTATTACACCTTACACCACTATATTAATAACGTTTACGACTTGTCTTAAATCGTGTTGACCAACTTTGACTCTGATAACCATTCCTTTCCATCAATGAAGGAGATATCCATGAATGGATTCGCTTCTTCTGCACTTAGTTGTTTTGCATATGAGACCCTAGATGTGCTATTTGCTCCAGGACCCGAGCACCCATATTCTCCATAAAAAACAGTCCTGAAAATGCATTTAAACGTTACGACTAACTATATATAGTTCATATCATTAATTTTAGTATATGGGTGAAAAGACTAAATTAGACATAACTGATCTCTAGAGGAATCTCTCCAGTCATTCCATCCATCAGATGAAACAACTTGAGACATGTAGGTTTTCAAGAACACCACAGTTGCATAAGGACCCCACGCCCTTCCAAGCCACACCCTACCACTTCCTCCTATTCTACAAGACACAAACGAAAACCCGGTTTTTTCATTCTCGGAGCTCCTCCCTTGTGCTGTTATTGCTCCGGTTACCCCACCATCATTCGCGGCATCACTGGCTATGGAGTTCAGTGTAGAATCCTGAAATTATTAAAAGTCAAAACCCATTATTTAATAGTTCATTATGTTTTCTTGAAGAAACGATTACTTAATATACCTCATAAAGTGATCTACCATTTCCGAAAATAAAATCTATCGATCCTTCAATGAAACATTCTTTGAAGTAATGTCTTCCTCGATCATCATGAAGAGTGTCTTGAGCTCCATAAAACCCACACCCATAAAAAGCTGCTTCATCACCTGCAATTCTTAGTGCCAAGGCTTGTCCTCCAACTGCGCCTTGGTTTGGGGGAGGAGCTGTGTTCTTATTTTCCATTGATCGAATAACAATTCAACCATGTGATCGATTTTCAAAAGATTTAAAAAAAAAAAAAAAAAATGATTTACTTGCATGCATTACCTTGAAGCTGATGTTGTAAGCAGTGAACTTTTGAGCAAAAATGGAAACTGTCGAGCTGTAAACAGTGCCTCCGGTTGAATTTGCAGTGTCGTTCCATGTGATCTCTGTGTTGAGATAACCCTGGCCTTGAATTATCAAATTGCTTTTACTCTGGTTCACTGTCACTTTCTCCCTTCGATAACAATAACATTTTCTTTCTTTTTAGATTGTGCACAACTTAACAAAAGATCTCATGATCATGAAAACATAAACATGAATTACCTGTATGTTCCTGAATCAAGAATGATAAGAGTCGCACCAACGCTAGAATCAGGAACAGCATCAACGGCCTGTTGTAAACTGCTGAAGTTCCCACAACCCTCTTGGTCAACGGTCAAAACAAGTGACACCCGGTATTCTGATACAAGACTAGAGTTCCACTTGTTGACACAGGCGACCTTCTGGTGATGATGGTGGTGATGATGGTGGTGGTGGTGATGATGACCGGAGATTTGGCTTATGAAAGAGAATAACTCGTAAATTCCACTATTCTCAACGACCCTTTTGATAAAAGTGACTTGAAAGCCAGGTAAAGAGATGGTAGTAGCTATGGTTGAGTTAGTGTTGTAGAAAGAAAGTATGATGGAAAGAAGAGCAATGGTAGTGACAGATATCCAAAAGAATATGGTTCTTGAATTGGTGTTCATTTTTTTGGATTAAAGGATTGTGAGATTAAGAACTGTCGTGGGGGTATATACAAGGTGTTGTTATATATACATAGAGGAAAAAGCATTGTTTAAGATATTATATATGCCTTTACAATGTGTTGTGCTTAATGAGGACTTATTTTTTCCAGCACTCAAGCACTTATGTCTCGTTTAAAGCATGTTACTTAAACACTATTCAGCATATGATTACCTTAGAAGAAATGAACCTATGACCTTCAAATTATTACAAGACAGATAAGATCTACCATGGATGTGATTGAAGTGAAAGCGTTTAGAGGTAGATATATGTTGTGAATAGTGTTTAAGAAAAGATATATATCGGCCAATTAGTAGCCACTTATCATGTGAAAGATTTTACGTGTTATCTTTTATGCACTATTTATTGTATTTACATGTTACTTTTTAACACGATTTTGGATTGGGATATGTTTTTGCCCAAAATAGAAACGTGGTCTTAATTAAATTAATGATTTGTTAATTTGAAGAGTGAGGATTCGCTTGGGAGTTAAGGGATGGAAAAAGAATTGGAACAAGGGCGGCAAATGGAGGAAGAATGGTCCACACGCCAAGATAAGAGACCACAGGTTTTATAAGACCATGATGAAAGGTGAGTGAGTGGGTGAAAGTTTTGTCTATTTGGCAAATTACAAACAAAATATAGCAAAAAGCATTGTTTATTATAGATTTAAGAGAAAATTATTGAAATGGTGTATGTAATAGAGTTCGGTCAACACATATATACTAAATTATACGACCTAATCACACATGTTTATGTCTGAATATGGGTATTTATAACCGAACCTACATGAACATATAATCATATATATGTTTAGACATGAACATCTGTTTTCAGTTTATGTAGAATCCTATATTTAGACATGAACATGCATGTATGGTTATATGGTTAGATCGTAGTGTTTGATTCTTTATTAAATTAACCCTACGTTTCATTTGTTGCGTAAATGGTCCTCAAAAGTTATGGATTTCGTCTAAACGTTTTGCATTAATGTTCCTCAAAAGTTATGGATGTAGTCTGAATGTTTCATTTGTTGCATAGATGGTCCTTAAAAGGTTTTTTTTTTTTTTTTTTGCTTGTTTGTTCACTTGGCTATCTAACTTAAGGATACACCCGTTAATTCATTTTACTACAAATGACCATATTGACCTTGTTTGTATCCATCTCTACCCAAACCTTAAGATAAACCGTCTGAAGGAGATAAAGAATTGGAGTAGACAAGGGTAAATATGGATATACTCCTTTTGGAACAACTGAAGATTTAGCAATGGACTTAACGGATGTAATGTTAATTTAAACGGTTAAGGGACCAAACATGCAACATGACTATAATTTACAGACGATTCTTGTAACAAATGCAACAGCCTGACTACATATAAACCTTTTGACTTATCATAAGGACAATTTCCATAGTTCATTCTAGATATAGTGTAGAATGAAGTTACCTTTTAAAACGGTGATGGCAATTACCGTGATATTAATGTGATACATTCAACCCCCTCTCGCCTCCTTTCAACTGTCCTTTAAAGTAAAGATTACACAAAACAAACTAATAAGACAAATAAAGCAAAACAAATAATACATATATACCAAAAGAACACACATACGGGAAATGTACAAAGACAAACCGCTAAAACCATCATAAACCATGAGGCAATATATATTTATCATTTTGAACAATTTGCCCACACAAAAAAGAAAAAGAAAAAACATTACTTCTTCCATAGATTACTCTATATGTAGTCTCTGTCTAAAACCAACTATAATCATCACCCAAACTCCATCAACAACCACCTTCTTTCCTTCTCCACCAAAAAAAAAAAAAAAAAAAAAAGTTTCCTCCTTTATCTCCCTACTATTCCCCACCGACTTTTTGAATATCAACATCACCTATAATATTATCCACTTTTTGAACATCAACCTTATTATCCTGGCCACCATTTTGAGGTTTGGCAATAAGATCCTTTTGTAGCATGGATGTGCCTTTGAATGTCATCATAGCCGAGCATCTTCTCCTCAAGTCACCAAGCTGTTGACCCCCCACCCCAAAAAATAAATATTTATATTTTAAAATTAATCCAAATAAAATAATAGACTTTTATATATATATATATATATATATATATATATATATATATATATATATATATATATATATATATATATATATATATATATATATATATATATATATATATATATATATATACACGTTAAGATGCATGATAAAATCTACCTCTTCTGGTTCTATTGTTTGGAAGCCTAATTTGGTCCATATGGATTTAGCTTCATCTGCAGCTGGAAGCACAAGCTTCTTTATATTTAAAGATGAAAGTAATCTCTCAATGCAGCTAAACAATACATGAAAGTATCCCTGGCAATCAAAAAAAACAAAATAAATAAAAAATCAAATGCCACATCAGCAGTAAGTAACAAGTGATGTGAAATTAATCAATTATATTTATATAGGGTACCTTCCCCTGGTTGCATTTACTTGTAGCAACTATTGGAAGTTCAGCAATGTCTTGTCCAAAAACTCGAAGAGTCCCCGCACTTACTACATTTGAGCTGTTGCACATTTTATTTAATTCAAAACATCAAATTATATTTTTATATTATGCTTTCACTATATTGCAAGATTGGTCCCTGAGTTTGCTAAAAAATTTACTATGTTTTTAATGATTGGAAAGCACAAAAAGAAAGAATGGCCTTACTCTATAGTCAATATGGCACAAAGCATCCCTGCAAAATCTTGACTCCAAATTTTCCTTCTATTAAGATGAGAGAGAGGGTGTGTGTGTATTAGATTATTAAATAAAAAAGGGAGAAATTTATTAATATATGTTCCGTTAACTAATTCTTACCCATACACCATGGATGGAATAAAATCACGCCCACTAGTTGCATCAATAATAGGGTCAAACCCTTCCTATTATAAATATAAATATAAATATAAATATAATAATTAATAATATAGTAAAATCAGAAAAGAAAAGATATAAGCAGTTATGATTATAGCAAAATAGTAACAAACTCACATGAAAAATATTTATTGTTTGTGTAAGCATCGGTCTGTTTTCACGGGTGGCATTCTTCCCACTTAAAAGCACAAATTTCATTTCAGAAATTACATCCTTCTCCTTCTCCTTCTCCTCCTCAGAAATTACATTCTTCTCCTTCTCCTTCTCCTTCTCCTTGTCAGAAATTACATTCTTGTCCTTATCCTTGTCCTCATCAGAAATTACATTATTGTCCTTATCCCCCTCCTCCTTTTCCTTTTCCTTTTCCTTTTCCTTTTCCTTCTCCTCCTTCTCCGCCTTCTCCTTCTCCTCCTTCTCCTTTTGCTTCTCCCTCACAAAAGTCAACAGGTCATCATCAACAATCTCTGCTTCTTTAGTCAACAAATTTTGCAAAACAGAATGAATTCTCTCACAATCCGTCCTGCAAAACCACTTCCCTTTTGGCAATGCCTATAAAAAAAATGCAAAATAATTAAAAAATATACATATATCAACCGATTTCTTTTACAACGAAAATAGTATTGCATAATATTTAATATACACACCTCCAAATCAGCCATTTTTTGTTCCCTTAGACACCCGATATGGTACTCTCTTTCGCACTAACAATGTCATTAAAAATGTTTAATGATTAGTGGATCATAAACCTAAATCTACCCTAATTTGCACATATACATTCAAATCTAGTTACCTGATCACATACTATAACAGTTCGTTCATTGAATACGTTTTTGCTGAAATCATGTCCTCTGCAAACAATAACATCATAACATTATAAAGAGAAGAGTAAATTACAAAAACAGTCCCTGAAACAAATAATCATTTTTTTTCTATTTTCGCAAAAAGTGTTTGTTAAATGTTAATGTTACCTGCATAAAACACATGCAACAAGATCAATGTTTTCTGGGGTTTTGACTATTCGAATGCAACGTTTTGTTATCTGTTCAATAAGATCAATCCCTTCAACTCTTCCAGCTACTGTAGCATTTTCACTATCTTCACCGACTTTCATTGCCTGTTTACAAAATCTGCAATACCATTTTCCTTGTGGGATATCCTTTTCATCAGTACATTCTGTATGTATCAACCAAAAAAAAAAAACATATTTGATTAATTCATTGTAAATATTTGATCTTGTTTTTCTATAAAAATTAAAAACTAACCTTTATGGAAGGACCTAGGGCATCCATCACAAAGCAACAGATTTCCACCATCCCAACAAATTCTACACAGGTCATCATTAAACTTCACAGGACATTTTTTGTTTTCGGCTCTCTTTAAAGAAACAGCATATTCATGGAGAGATACTCCATTTGAGATGTAAATGTTTTCATATCTGTCAACATTTATATAAAAAACTTATTCATGGATCCAAAAAGGTAATCTACTCTCTTAACAACAAAATAGAAGGAAACATATGTAAAAAAAAACTCACGGTTTTTTGCGTGTAGGCCAACCAGCATGGGCTTCAAATTGTGAGGCGCTGATCTGTTCATGGATGTAAAAATGTTATTGAATTTAAAAATAATAAAAAAAACACACACACAGGGTCAAAATGGGAAATACATATATATACCTCAGTCTTGCAGCATGAACAGAATATTCCATGGCCTAACTTATAACCATCTAGAAGCTTCTGTTAATAAAAGAATGTCAGATTTTTTTTCAAGAAAATGATATGATGTTAACAAATATTTTAAAAAAAAAAAAAAAAAAAAATTATAACCTTTCCATGAGAAACATAAGTTAGTTCGGTTCCATCAGGTAAACCTCCTTCCTCAAAAACAGGCCAATGCAACTGCTGATTCCTGCATATCAACAAAAGTTATTATTTTACATTTTTACATCAAGCAATTGGAAGGAATTAATTTTATTGGGATTAGAATCTAACTTTATTGTCAGCTTTTTTCCACTCTTCTGTTGTGAGGAGAAAGCACTCCCCAGTGGCTTTGCTACAGAAGTTGACCTTGGTGACCTGAACTTTTTTAGTATCTTGTCTTTTATCTTACTTCGTGATAACTTACCACTTTTAGCAGTTTTAGGTAAGTTCAGAACTGAATCTGACCTGAAATAAGTCGAATCATATATCTGTCATAAATAGGCTACAAGTTAAATGTTATATTCAGAAAACAAATACTTACTTCCTTGGTCTCCCTCTTCCTCTCTTTTTTTCTGATAAAACTGGCATCTCTGTATTTGTAATGGCCTTCAGTACTGGACTTGATGGCCTAAAAGTAAATACATTGAGCATTAAAGTTGTTAAAAATCAAGATACATCAATAAATACTAAAAGTAACATGAATGTATAAGCAAAATGTAGTAGAGAATAAAGATACACGTGTCAAAATAATACACACCTATCTTCCACTTCCACTTCCACTTCCACATTGGTTGCAGCAAGGGCCACCACTTGTTCCTGTTTCTGAAACTGAATTTGATTCTTCTGATTTAAGCAAGAGTCACATTTTAATATATTTTCAGTAGAAGATGATTCGATTGGGCCTGTAAATCATAAAAAGAATACCAAATTTCAGAAAGAAAAAAAATACCCAAAAAAGTACAGAGAGTTAGGTCAATTAGGGTTTTGTTTACCGTTGCAGTCTGTACATATGGAAGGTTCCTTGACTTCCTTCACAGGCAATGAAGTAATTACATTCTCAAAAGCTACTTCTAGAGATTCCAAAGCTGATGATTTACATATTTCAAGTAGTTCAAGGAGGCTTTTCCCATTTTCAAGACAAATATATTTAATCGCATGTCTATATTGGTCACATGCATGAAACTCAAATTTAGAAGGCGCAATAACCTACCATTTGACAAGTAAATAAAAGTCAAACTTAAACCCATTACAAAAAATCATATCTTTTATATGATCATGTTATGTTGGAAGTAAGATTACTTACTTTGGTACCCTTACATGACTTGCAAGAACACAGTATGCCAGTACCTTTGATAACTCCTTGTAGATTACTTCCCTGTAACAAAGACAAAGTTCAATCATTTATCATTTCCACACCTAAAAACTTGACAACTTTTATGAGATTATCAATATGAAAAAGCACATTAATTTATACATGGATTGCTTGATCGAACAAGGATTAAAGCTTACATATTTCCACTATGTATACAGGTATATCCGGAAAGAGGGAGTAAGGACATAATTATACTGAATCTAATATGAATTCCTTTCCTAAAGAAAGCCAAAAGGTCACTTACGCAGATGGGATGACCCCTAACTGCCTAAATAACTATACTGAATCTAATATGAATTCCTTTCGTAAAGCATGATTATCAAATCTCATTGAAGATTCTACCTTTGTACCTTATTTCGCTCAAAACAGATACAGAAATATAAAAACTTTGTTCTGATTCACATGCAGACATGTAAGAGATACAAGTGAAACAACAAAAAACGAACTATGATAGATTGGTAGGCAAGGGTACCTCGAGATTGTAGGAAACTTGAAAACCCTCAAGCAGACCGGTCTCAAGAAGTTCCCTCATATTAATTGGTACTCTGCTCAATCCAATCTTCTTAGACATTTTCAATTCTAGATTCTTTCTGGTTGGAGTCCCCAATTTTTCCACATTCTCCTCCGTCTCCTTCAATGCTGATCTCGTAAATCTCTTTGGAGTACTGCTATTCACTTTATCTTTTCTAAGTTTACGCTTCACGTACACCTTCTTCGTCGTTCTAGTACTATCTTCTTCACCCTTATCTGCTTCCACGGCCGCAGATTGTTCTTCACCCTTGTCTGCTTCCACCGCTGCCGATTCTTCTTCTCCCTTGGCTGCTTCAGCAGCAGTAGATTCTTCTTCGCGCATGGCTACTTCCGGCGCGGCAGATTCTTCTTCGCCCATGGCTACTTCCGGAGCGGTCGATTCTTTATCGCCCATGGCTACTAACACATCGGCTGCTTCTTCGACCATGGCTACTTCCGCCGCGGACGATTCTTCTTCGCTCTTACCTGCTTTCATTTTGAGCGGTACTTCGTCGCCTATGGATCCGTCGACATTTATCGAATCGCCATCTGGAATCGCAGTTTTAACCCGTTTGCTCCGTCTACTCATATTCACTTCGTCAATCGAAATCTTTGAACGATCATTAGACGATCGCTCTTTGCTTTTCCTTTTAGTGAACTGAGGGGGTGGACTTTTCGAAGATCTAGTCCGACCAATGAAGCCAGAGAACTGAGATCGAGCTTCCAATGCGAAGGCTAGTTCTCTCTTCATTCTTGATTTTAATGGCGACTGATTATCAAAGTTTAGGTTTCAAAAAAAGGGGCTGAACAGAAATTCAGCGGTGAATCTGTAAGAATGTAGGATATTGGAAACCCAATTGAAAGACCGAAGACTTTTTCGCTACAAAATCATCGGTATGTATCTGAGTTTATCTGATCCGGTGCTCTCTACATGACTTGCAATTTTAAGAACAAAAAGAACCCTAGATTTTCTCGATAAACAGAAACAGGGGCAATATATATCTCGGAACTAAATCGCAAAATGTAAAATAAAATAAAAATAAAAAATTACGTTTACAAATTTTCTTTCTATTTTAGGCAGTTAAGCAACAACTGATCCGTTGACTTTTTACATAATATGTGTAAATTTTCTCTTTTTCTTTCATACAGTTAATTACACAGGACAAACGACAATAAAGTTTTATGTTTTATGCATTTATTTTTGTTGTGTATTTTAGTTCATTAAAGTTGGATATTTCATAGAAAAAAAAACGCTTTTATTTTTTTACAGGTTTACATGGTAATATTTACCAAAAAAAATAATAATAAATAAAAACAAACATTTATATCAAACATAAAAGCTTTAATGAGCCATAAATACTAGGAACTAACGAACTGTTTGTGAACCATCAATGGGAAGTCCGTTTATTTAATAGATGAATGAACATGAACACAAATTTTCGTTTGTCCGTTTATTTAATTAAATAAACGAACGTGAACATTGGTCTTGTTTGTCCAATTATTTCCATGAACGTTCATTTATGTTCGTTCATTTAGGTTCATTTTATGTTTATATATGTTTAATTATTTTTCAACATGCTCTAATTGTCACAGTACAATACCGGCTTCTCAACCTTTATACCAAGACTTTGAATAAGCTCATGTAACCATATCTCCTTATTTGTTCCTTCCATCATAAACATGTACCGAGACTCAGTTATAAACAAAGCTACAATATCTTGTAAAGTTGACTTCCAAATGATGGCACATCCGAACAAATTGAAAATATAACATATCTGTGACCTACGATTCAACAAATCACCTCCATAATCAGAGTCAACATATCCAACCAAGTCAGTTTTCGTATTAGCTTCATACACCAAGCAAACATCCGCCGTTCCCTTCAAGTATCGCATGATCCACTTGACAGCTTCCCAATAAGCATTCCCTAAATTACTCATAAACCTGTTTACCACATTAACTGAATGAGCCAAATCAGGTTTGGTACAGACCATTGCATACATAAGACTTCCAATGACACTAGATTAAGGAACCCTACTCATACTTCCTTTCTTCATTAGTTGTGGGTATAGTATTTGGACCAAGTTTAAAGTGAGTTATCAAAGGAGTTCCAATTGGTTTGGAATAATCACAGTTTAAAGACCACAAAACTTTTTCAATGTACTTTTGTTGAGTAATACACAACCACCCTATTCTTTTATCCCTTCTAATCTCCATCCCCATTATCTTTTTTATTGCTCCCAAAACCTTCATCTCAAACACATTCTTCAAGATCGCCTTCAAGTCATTTATTATAGCCATGTCCTTGGCTACGATGAGCATATTATCAAAAAAATAGCAATAGATATATGTAGGAATCTCGTGAAAATTCCTTTAAGTAGACATAATTATCAAACTAGTTCCGAGTGTAGCCATGCGAGATCATAAATGAATCAAACCTCTAGTACCACAGTCTTGGAGACTGCTGTAAACCATACGGAGATTTCTCTAGCAAACATACATGATCCTTCTTAAAATCATGGAACCCTTCTGGCTATGACATATAAATATTCTCTTCTAAGTTCTCATGAAGAAATGCAATTTTCTCATCAAGTTGTTCAAGCTCTAGATCAAATGCACTCACCATGGCAAAAAAGAACCTGAATTGTCTTATGCTTCACGGCCGATGAGAACACCTTATGATAATTAATTCCTTCTTTCTAAGAAAACATTTTCACCACCAACCTTGCTTTGAACCTATCTGGTTCAACTCCTGGTATCCCTTTCGTCTTCATAAAAATCCATTTACATCCCACTGGTTTTGCTCCCTTTAGTAATGGAACTAGACCCCATGTTTCATTTTTCTCTAGTGATTGCATTTCTTCATTCATGGCCATCAACCAATTTGTTGCTTCATTACTCGTCATTGCCTCTTTATACGAATAAGGATCCTTAGTGTCAATGTATTCTCCAGTTGCTAAATCAAAAGCAATCGAGTCAAGGTCACTTGAAGCCACACATCCCATATATCTATCTGGTTTCCGAATAACCCTCTTGGATCTCCTCCTTGCTATAGTTTCTTGCCCATCATCCTTCCTGGCATCACTATTGGACGAAGATCCCATGGGGTGCTATTGGGTTTCATCTTGTCTAGTTTTTTCATTGTTGCCTTGCTCTTCATCGCTTATCACAACTTTGTCTGGAGTTTAAGACGCAAACTCCACCTTCTGGCTAGCACCCTGATCTTTGTTCCCTGCCTGACTTGTATAGCATCCTCCCTGGTTACTCATGTGTAACATCCTGACTCCCAAGTATTAATTTGAAGTTTTAAATTTCACATTTTTAAAACCTAGTCGACGAGTTGGTTGCCCCTAACTCATCGTGTAGAGATTAATCATGTCGCAGGATTTATGGAACCTACTCGATGAGTTGGAGGACCCAACTCGACGAGTTGAGGTTGTTTATGAAAACCCTAATCTTTAGGGTTTACACCCTATTTAAAGGACCTTAAGTCCCCTTTCCAGCCTCCTTACCACCTTTTCATTGTCCCGTTACCAGAGAAAACCCTAATCTCCCCACTGTGTGAGTGAGTGAGCTTAGAAGACATTTTGGGTGCTCTTTTGAAAGGAAACTCGAAGGTTGAGGAGCTTGGATCAAGAAGAAGGTTGTAGATCCGTTATCTACTTTGTATTGGCAACCAATTTGAGGTACAGAGTTAATACCTTGACTTCTCATTTCTTAGATCTTCCCTTGTGAAAGAAATGGTCATTTCTAGTGCAAAATGGAGTCATTTTCGGGTTTGAGCTAGTCACAAGGACATGGTTTCAGATCTAGACTCCTCTAGGCCCCCATACTCATAAAGTCATCAACTTTATCAAGTTGTGTCCCTTCCCCATGTCCTAAACTTCTTTTAGACTAAGTTTTGGTGTTTTAAGCCTTTTTAAGACCTTGCATGCACGTAAAGTTAGCAACTTTACGTGGTAACTTCACCCTAGAAAGCCAGATCTGGAGTTTGGAGCTATGAACTCGACTGGAATAAGCTGAATGCAAAATGGCTAAAGGAACTCGATGAGTTGCATAGTCAACTCGTCGAGTTGGATGAGGGTTTCCTGCTTTTTAGATTCTGCATGAACTCGACGAGTTAGCAAGATGAATCAACGAGTTGGTTAAGGTTTTCCCAATATTTTGGATGCTGCATGGACTCGACAAGTTGACTGGGGTTTTCGTGGTCTTCTGAGTTCCGAAGGAACTTAACGAGTCTGTAAGTTGCACTTGACAAGTTGGGTCAACATAGACGATTGACTTTGACTTTGACTAAGTTTGACTTATGAGGGTATTTTGGTAATTTCCTTATGGCGCAACATCTCCTATGTGTGGCTCAACATCCATTCCTTTGGCACAACTCTTTTCCCTTTGGCCCAACATCTTCATGAATGGTACAAGATGCCTCCATATGGTGTAACATCCCAATGGATGGTACAACATGTTGCTCCAAGTTGGTCCATGTGCTCCAAGATGCACCAAGCCACTCCAAGTTGCTCAAAGCGACTCCAAGTTGATCCAAACTGCCTTTTGGAAGATCCGTTTCTTTGTCAATTGATATGTTCCTTTTTATGATGATCCATTCCTTTCTCGGAAGATATGTTCCTTTGCTACATGCTCCATGAACCCCAAGTGCTCCATCGAACTTAATTACTCCATGAGAATGCTCCAAATGCTCAAGTCATATTTAACATATGCTTGTTTATGGTCATATATGATCAATTATATATGTTGAATACCGCTCGTTTATGTTCATCTGGCATATTCATGAACATGAATAATGTAATTTGTTAAACGAACGAACATGGACAAGAAAACTCGTTTGTTTATCTGTTTGTGTTCGTTCGTTTGTTCGGATAACTTAAACGAACGAACATAAACAAATCATTGTTTGTGTTCGTTCGATTCGTCTAAAGCCATAATAAATACATAAAAATGGTAAATTTAAAAATAAAAAAGTTGCAAATATCCAATTTTAATGAACCTAAAATATATAAAATGATACATTTGTATGTATTTGTTAAACATAAGGGTTTTTTGTCATTTGTGTAACAACCATAAAATTCGAGCCAATTTTAAACTTTTCAAAACACTTACAGTCAATAGTTAATACAACATGTTTCAAAAATTGTCTAACATCGGAATTTTCCTAGAAACATAAACAAATTATGAGGAGATGTACGATCTCGTCTTCGTCTTGCCACGATCCCCTGATGTACATGAAACAATAAACTGAAACTATAAGTCGAGGCTTAGTGAGTCCCCCAAAATACCGATACATTGTACATAACATATATACAAATAACAGCATGAACTGGGTCCACAACTATGCAGACTGGATTACCCCTGGGCCCACAATGTGAGTCTGAATTGCCTTCCGGGTCCACACCTCACATCTGGATTGCCACCGAGCCCACTGTACGAGTCTGGCATGCCCCACCTGACCCTCAACTCGTATCTGGAATGCTCTCGGGTTTGTTGGTTACCGCACGAAGCAATATCCTCAACCCACCCCACAGAATATGTCGACATATAAAACAACTAATACGCATACAGATAAACACATAATAACACAGGTAGTCCGATAGATCTACCTAGCTGTCATAGCAACTATCATATAATATTGACTCATACTCAACATGCTACCAACTGTTGGGATATCATATCCAATGGGTCGGCCTTGGTGCCTTATACCCCTTAGTATAGTGAGGAAACTCACCTCGTAAGTAGTGCTGAAATACTGTAAATCTCTGGTTGCTGACTTACCTAAAATCCCGCACTGCTACATAACGAAATTACTTGGTTAATACCCAACATTATTTCCTTAACTAAGTTTCCTCATTACTCATTAAGCCCATTCCCTTTTGTTATGGGACATCCTCAATTTCTCGGCCAAAAAAGACCGATTTGTTTATGCTTTGTTTTTAAAATCAGAGTAATCTTTTAAAGAAAACAGTTGCGAAATTTGTTCCCAAAATATGATAAAGATTTATCAAAGCATTTCTTTAAAGAAATGTATTTTCA